TGAAAATAAGTAACTAAAATATTTAGGCATTTACTAACACACTAAAATTATATCCCAATTGTATCCCAATTTAACGTCTATATAATATTAATATGTTTATAATCTAATCAATGGAAATTGATGATATAACTATGAGAAAACATGACTGGCTTTTTGGCTTTGTAAAGGTCGATTCAGACACATCAGTCACGTCTCGTCACAGTCCTGGCTCCGAACCAAACAATCGGTCATACAAAATATTCTTTAATAGAAATATGGCGCCGGCATTCACATTCATCAGGCGATGAACAGTTTTCCAGCTGTCAGATAGTTGATAGTTCTGTGACCAAACAGGACCGGTTCGGCGTCGAGACTATGACAGGACTGATGTGTCATAAAATACAATGTTGATGTTATTGTCAAAGCCTATACCTGAAAGTGAAAAAATTAGTCCCGAAAGCTACTTTCGGTACAAGTTGTGTAAAATGAGATTTTCGATTTAATAAATCATATCCAAAGGTTTTATTTTCGGGACGGCTGCAAAAAAAAACATTTCAACTCAACCGATCAAGTCTTTAACCTAATTGATTTGAATACATTAAATTTTATTATACAAAAAAGTCAAATATTCAATACTGTAGCACGTCTAGTCAAACCCAAATTATAAAAACCACTTTTTTGCATGAAATGTACTTGTAAACTTCTGAATAAATATCGCACAAATTTAATCAAACATAAACGTAGCCGGATTTATATTTCCTTGGCTTCTAACACCATTATTATTCTTTTACGACGACAATAAAGTTTTGCCAATAATAAACAGCTTCCTGCTGCTAAACTACTTCAAAACTGCGAACTGTTTTAGCACTCTTAACGGGATTAGTCTTTCAGAGGGATTTCGGTTATTACCTTTTGAACAATCGCAAAACTCTAAAAGAGTTTTTATACTTTCTGCGAATTGGCAATTCTTAACAATAATCTTAATATATTTATTAGAGAAATAAAGTAAAATAGATAAATTTTACTTTTAAAAATTAGTAAAAAACGTTTAATATTTTTTATTTTGTGGCGAACATTTTTGAATGGGAGGTTATATGTATTACGTCGCATGTGCAATAGTTTCAATGGGTTGAGTTAAGTTGAGTTGAGCTCGTACAGGGGTATTTGTATTGATCTATTGAAAATAGTTCCGCCATCCATAAATTGTTGTGTCTGGGACTACCTTTTCCAAGGCAATGGTAAATAGGAGACCAGTCAGTGTATACTCTTGTCTGAGTCCATCCTTTATCTCAACGGATAGAGAATTTTCTCCTTGTATACTAACAGTGCCATTAGACTGGTTAGACATTGTCATTCTCGTTAATCGGATAAGTTTTTCTAGTGTACTAAACTCACGCATTGATTGGTATAGTACTGTTCTCTTGACACTGTCGTATGCAGCCTTGAAGTCAACGATCAGATGAAGGATTTTAAAGATAAATTTTATTGTTTTTTTGAAGATCTGTATTATGTAATTATTCTGGTCAACTACTGATTTTTTTGGAGTGAATTCAGACTGTATTTTCAAACTATGCCCACTGTGTAAACTGTACTAGGGAATATTTTTTAGTATTTTGTAAGAAGTTGTTAACGGGGTTAAACCTCTATAGTTGTGACACTTGTCCTGTTCGCATTGTTTGTTTAACGGACATATTACGCCGTAAGGCCATTCACAGAGCCTGGTCTCATTTTGCCAGACAAAAAGTAAAAGTTTATGCAGTGTCTGTAGCAGGGTTCGCCACAATACTTGTAGAGCTCACTGAAGATTTTATCAGTCCTGATGATTTATTATTTTTAAGCTTTTTATTGGCATGAGCAACTTCTTCAGTTGTGGGTATCCTTTAGTTTGGGTGAATGTATTCCAAAAATTTCGATCTGCTAGGGTGTTATCTGCTTCTTACATATTATGGCCATTCAGATTTAGCCATAGGACGCACGCTCCCTCTAAGGGGAAAATTCACTCACACTAGACACCTACGGTATCAAAAGGATTGAGGTTTGGTGGGACTTTTGCCATGTTATTGAGCCCTCTAGGACTTTGATGGCCATTATTATTATTAATGTTATTATTAGTAAATTTTGTATAGAAAAATTCAACCCATCTGTTTAGATTAAGATTAAGGTTGTAAAGTTATATATAGTTGTCAAACAATGTCAAATGCATATGTTGAGGTGTTAAAAAATACATTTAAAAAATACAATGAAATTACAGTAAAAAGAACATTTTTTTTTAAATTTATACAAACATTAAAAAGTCACACAAATGTTACAATATGTTAACAAGAACAGTAGATATAATATAATACAATACTTCTATTCTATCGCTAATGTACAATATATCGAAACATGAAGCCAAGAGAAAAAGTAACTTGTTTTAATTACAGCTTAGTGAACAATTTGAAAAAAAAACAAATGTTTTTTTTAATTAAAAAAAACCATGGCAAGTTAACTTTATTGTTAGAGACACCAAAGTAATTAAAAAAAGCAACTATTTTTGATAGATAGGGATTTATTATTCGGACAAGAAACACAAGTAATAATATGGGTTTCTATCTATTGAAATCAGTTTTTGTACGAAAAATCAACTAGACGACAAAAATACTTTATGCAGGACAGAATATAAAAGTAAATCTAAATCTGATTGGTTGGATAGGTTGGAAATATAAGGTACCCATGACCATTGTTGGGGAACCTAGAACTAGTGAATAATAATGAAATATAATGTGATATGAATTTGTTTAAGTCATCATGAGGTTCCTTTTTATATATATATATATATATATATATATATATATATATATATATATGTATATATATATGAATGTATATAAAGTATCTAAATTTTAAAAGAAATAAATCTAAATCTAAAAAGAGCTAACACTCCTATCAGTTCGAAACAGTTTCAATAATGCTATAACTGAAATTGATCATCGAAGTGTTTTGAGTCTTCAGAATTTTACACTGCGGTTTTAAACCGCTAGTAAAGTTCATGTTTATAATATAGATATTTATATTCCATTTTTTAATAAATTTTCTACAGGCCCTTCGTCTTCTTCTTCTTATATTTATATATATATATACATATATATATATATATATATATATATATATATATATATATATATATATATATATATATATGTATATATATATATATATATATATATGTATATATATATATATATATATATGTATATATTATATATATATATATATATAAATATATATATATATATATATATATATATCCTCTAAAATAACAGCTGATCTGGTAGATGAAAAGTGAGTTGAGGTTAATTGGGTATACAGCTGAATAAAAGCCAAGTGCACTCTGTTCAACAGTTCATTATATTTCGCCAATTTTCATTGGCATCATCAGATGAAAGCTACAATTATTTAAAACATGGTAAAAATAAATAAAAATAAAAATAATAAAATACATTCAATAGTCTTACTTGATTGAGGTTGTGGCAATATGATTTATGTTATCATCAGAAAGGTTTGTGGTATGATGTGGATTGTAGTTTTTTTGGATATATAACATGTAGTTGTAAAAATGACAATTAAAATATTAAATGACAATATATAAATTAAAAAACAAAATAAACATAAAAACGTTTAGTTCGCAGATAGTCATTAAGGTTTAGTACTAGAAATACCAAATATCGAATGTTATTGATTGATGTGTAGCAGGAGATAATTAGTTCTATAGTGTTAATATAGTAGTTGTTTATTGATTGGGATTTACTGTAAAAGTGTGTTTTAGATAAAAAATTTAAAAAATTTTTTTTTTTTTTTTTTTTTTTTTTTGAAAATAAATAATTAAAATAATTTAATAAATAAAACTAAACGTTTTTATGTTTATTTTGTTTTTTAATTTATATATTGTCATTTAATATTTTAATTGTCATTTTTACAACTACATGTTATATATCCAAAAAAACTACAATCCACATCATACCACAAACCTTTCTGATGATAACATAAATCATATTGCCACAACCTCAATCAAGTAAGACTATTGAATGTATTTTATTATTTTTATTTTTATTTATTTTTACCATGTTTTAAATAATTGTAGCTTTCATCTGATGATGCCAATGAAAATTGGCGAAATATAATGAACTGTTGAACAGAGTGCACTTGGCTTTTATTCAGCTGTATACCCAATTAACCTCAACTCACTTTTATATATATATATATATATATATATATATATATATATGAATGTATATAAAGTAGTACGACCGTCAAACATAAAATATATTCAATGAGTAAGTTCCAAAAGAAATAGATCTTTTGGTCAACGAGGATATCGGTCAAGGGGATATCGGTCAAGGGAGGCCGATATCCCGTTGAACAAAAGATTTATTTTTTTGGAACTTACTCATTGTATATATGTATATATACTTACATTGTTAAAGGGTATGTGTTAAATATCCTGTCATCAAATGTATAAATTACCTACAAAGATATTATCAAAGAAATTATTGCTTTTATACTTCATTTGCTTAGCTCGGGCATATTTTGACAGATTCATTGTCAGAAATCTACAACACAATAATTCCTACTTCTCAGTATTAACAGCACAAATTTTGGGTAGTATATATTTAAAAAATATAATTTAGTTGTTATAATTTAATATAACTATTTATTATATATGGTGCAGATAAATAAATATTGATTGTCGGTAATTCACAAACTTCTATTTTATTTACTGTTTAGTTTGTTTACTATTAATATTGGCTATGAGTACGTGTGCTTGGTTGTATAGTAATTTCGAGACAATTTTAGTCTTGTCAAAGGAAACTAACTTTGCAAAAAAAATAATTACTAAATTCACTAGACAGTTTGGACTGGGAATAGCGAACCGAGTATAACTACTACCTTTAAAAACTTTGGGAATATTTTTTTATTTACGACACATTTTAGGGTGTCACAGCATTTTTGTCAATCAATACTTATCTCAATTTTTATTGCAGATCCTCCCAAAATTATCAGCATTGGACGAGAACGAGTAAAAACTGCTACACTGTTTTCATCGGCTAGTTTCGAGTGCTTGGGAGAAGGGAACCCACCTCCAACGTATCAGTGGATTCAGAAAAGGCCAACTCCTTCAGATAGTATTATTGAAAGAGGAAGAGATGCTAAATTATATATAAGTAATGTGACATACGATTTCCAAGGTGAATATCGCTGCAAAGTAACTAATATTATCAAGGGAGAAGAAAGGACGGAAATAAGCGAGCCAATTATTCTGCAAGTACACGGTAAATATTTTTTCATTACATTTATATACGAAGTATTTTAAAAATGCGAAGTAAGACAGACACGAAATATTAACTGCTGCTGTTGTTGTTCTCAAGATTGTCTAGCTACGATATAAGTTCACAGATAAGCAAAAAAGAGCTAACACTCCTATCAGTTCGAAACAGTTTCAATAATGCTGTAACCAAAGCCACCTTTACTTCCAAGCCATGAAGCAAAAAAGGCAACACCGCATTCTATGACGTCGGTAGTCCGATAATCAGCTGTAAGGTCTACCAGAAAATTAAACTAATTTATTTGAATTTTAGAAAACTGATATTTTGAAATCTTTAATTCATTACAGAAATATTTTTAGGGAAATTAAATTAATAAAACCTTATATATACCTAATAAATCTATATAAAGTTTTATATTATTAAGGTTATATTATCAATAGAATAATCATTAGAGTAAAATTTATTGCACTTAAAATACAGTGTCAAACAGTTAATCTTACAATCAAATGCAGTCAAGAATCTCTAGAAATTTTAAATATTAAGTACTTAAGCATATAAATAACACAATACATTAACACGACATTTAAAAAGATTATTAAAAATACAAAAGATATAAAATTTGTTAAGCAAAAATTTAGTGTAACTATTATGATTAAAAAATTCATCCTAAGCAATCAGACACAATATTAATATGGTTCTAAATTAATCTAATTGAAAATTAAATATTTTATTATTTACTTATAACTTTTGTTGAATTTTCATACTTAGGTATACGAAAGTAGCAATTTTATATATGAATAGGTTTTTTGTCATATAGACCAATTTAAAAGAGGTATACATGAAAAATGTGTTGAATGTAACATACCATTTATAACTTGTATATCGATTTAAAGTAGCCTATATTCTCAAAAGATTTTTGAATGTAATGCTCAAATTTGTTATCACTTATCTAAAAAGCAGATCTATATCGAGAAAGTAAGTTCTCTAATTGTGACCATCTTGTTAATTTACTATATTGTAAAATCCATTTCAAATCATTACTACTTAATCTATTCTTACCTACATTGACGATTACACTAAAATTACTGCTAACTATTACACTACTTATTACACAAATATTATCACACTCGTGTCCCAAATATACACAGTCACTTGTAATTTTACTTGTCCAGTTTTTCAATGGGATATTATTGTCTAAGACTCTTAAAAATGATTCAAATAAATCTATTAAATCATTGTCTAAGAATTCTGTTATCTCTTGTTCCCTCATCTTATGCAAAAAGTGTCTTGTGTCTTCGGGATTCCTTCTTTCTTTAGTACGATGAACAGTTACATATGATGGTACTTCAGAAAATATATTAGGAACTGCATTGTCTTTTAATTTGGGAAATATTAACTTTTCAATGTGTACATTTCCATCTTTATCTTCTCATTGTTCAGTCCGCTGAATATCATCTTCATGAAAATGTTTGGCACATACTACGGAAGATTTGGTAATTGTATAGCCTTCTTTATGAATAGAGCATAACCCAGTATACCTTCGGTGGGGATCTTTGGGAAACAAAAACGTACTTTCTGCCTGTTTCGTTTTTAAAGTACTGGCATAATTGGTTTTGCTACCAGGTACACAACAATGCCAGGGCATCTGTAACGAAAAACAAAAGTATTATTATTGTTGTTTTTAGTTTACATATTTTGTAACAAGAAGTAAAAGTATTATTATTTTCAGTTTGTTTTGTAGGTTATATTTATACTTACCTTTTAAATTGTCGTTAAGAATCTTCTAAACTTAATGAAATTTTAGTTATATTAATAATTTCTAATTGATTTAAACACAATTTACAAATAAAACATTCGAATAAGGTTAAAAAAACACTAAATTCAACAAACTTTACAAGCCTTTCTATATGAAATGTTAAACAAAACAAATCACGGTCGGACTACCACGCGTTGTTGCCAAATTTCTACTTCATGGCTTGGAAGTAAAGGTGGCTGCGCTATAAGTGAAATTGATCATTGAAGTGTTTTCAGTCTTAAGAATTTTACGCTGCGGTTTTAAACAGCTAGTAAAGTTCATGGTTATAATATAGATATTTATATTCCATTTTTTTAATAAATTTTCTACAGCCCTTCGCCTTCTTCTTCTTTCTTCCAGTATGTAGGCTTTAAAGCCTGTTTCTTCTTCAATATTAGCCTCTTAAATTGTTTAAATTGTCGCACCATCTTTTTCCTGGTGTGCCAATACTTCTTCGTCCACTTCGTCTTCTTTATGTCTTTTATATTGCATGCTGTTCTTATGTTTTCGCTTCTCTTCCTATTCATCAGACTTATCCCTGATATTCGTTGGAGTATTTTTATATCTGTTGTTTCTAGCAGTCGTCTCGTTTTAGATGTGTCAGGTCTTGTCTGCGCCGTATATGTTAATATAGGTCTAATTGCTGCTTTATAGATTCTTGTTTTTGTATATTGTTTTAAGTGTTTGTTCTTCCAGATTGTGTCATTAGGAGAACCCGCCGCTTTACTTGCTTTTAGGTTTTATTGTCGTCCTTCTTCATTATCTAAGTAACTAGTTATATCTATTTCCAGATATCTAATCCTTGATGATATCCCAGATATCTACAGACCCTTCTTTTAATTTTTCTTTCAAAAAAGTCTAATTTCCCATACATATTTTTTGCAGGTATTTCGACGTTATTCATGTAACTTTTAATATAATCTCTTCGCTCTATAAGAACTCCAACTCTCTATTTTTCTGTTCTATCTATCATTCTTGTGTTCGTAGTATCCACCCTTTTTTCTTCTTATTAGCCTTCTATCGTCTATTTTTGGAGATATTTTTTTCCTAAGTCCTTCCATCAATCTGTATCCTGAGGAACATACTTTCCAATTTGTCCCAGCTATTATTTTTATGTTGTCTACCCATCATCTTATCTGTGGGAGATTTCCTTTTATTTGGATGAAGCTGGTATTTCAATAACGTCTTTTGTCTGATTCCATATGTTAAAACAGGGAGGATACAATAATTAAATGTGATGAAATACAATAAATAAATGTTATTTTAAAGTTTCTAAGGTTTTTTTTATTTTTCATTACATGAGACAGCTTGCCAAACTCAGCTTTTCATCCCATTAATATTCTTTTACTTATTTTCGTTGCCTAGTTTTTTTATTTAGTCTTAGATTTTACCAAGATAGAAATATTCATATGCATGTTCCACTACGATTTCCTGCATTGTTATTACTGGTTTTCCATCTCTGTTTCAAATTAGTTTCGTTTGGTTGATGTTCATTTTAAATCGTTTTTGTCTGGATTTCACATGCAACTTTTCCATCAACCTTTGCCACATCGTTCCAGCGGACGCTATTATATCTACATCATCGGCGTATCCAAGATGATTCAGATACTTTCTAATTACAGAAATTCCTCGCCTTCTCCATTCCAACTACGTGAAAATATCCTTCAGTGCTACTGTAAGCAGTACCTAGGATATTGTGTCATCCTGTCTTACGCCACGATTTATTTTAATTAGGTTAGTTTTTTTGATCGTTAGTAATTGACACCTTCATTTTAGTTTAATATTACACCTAATATATTTGGTATCCTGAGTATATCCGGGTGTTCACCAATGCTTCGTCGATGGCCCATAAATTTACACTATCAAAGGTTTCTTCCTGATCTATAAAGGCTAAACAGAGAAAAAGATTATACTTGCTTGTCTTTTATAATAAAAATTTTAGGGTATACAAGTGGTATCCCTTGTGAATCAAGCCTGTTCTACTGGTTGTTACTCATCAAATTTTCATGTAAGCCTATTGATAATGACTTTAGTAAATGTTCGTGGTGTCACCCTTTTTGTGACCTAAGATAGTGTTAGCGGTATTCGACTGTTGAGTCACATTACCCTCAAATAAGAATTTATTAAAAAGCGTCTTTATATTATATCAGACGATTTTTCTTTCTCCTTCTTTCAACATTTCTATGAAAATTTCATTACTTTCAAGCGCTTTGTTTCTTTTTATTGATTTGATGGCGTCTTATATGTCTCCTTTGCTTATTTCGGGCATTACATTTTGCTAGGATTCTTTTCAGATTCTGTGTCAAAGAAATAGGAAAATCATTTATTGAGCTACAAAGACCGCTATAGAATATTTATATTGATTGATTTTGTCACTTTTGCTATTTTGAAGTTGTCCTTGTTGATTTTATTTTTATATAGTCATCTAGATGTTTCGAAATGCCTTTTTTATCTGCTCTTACATACACGACCTTCTACAGGAAGTACAGAAAAGTATGCTCTCTATTCGTAACGGAACATCACAAGAAATATGGGAGACTGTTCAACATTGCGTGACAACACCAGCGGATTGCTCAAAGGAAAATAATCCGGTGAAACGGAAACACTGGATAACAGATGAAACACTTAAAATAATTGAGAATAGAAGAAATCTTTGTAAAAGTGGTGTACATAGTGAAAGGGAAAAAGCTAGTTTAAGAAACCTCAATAAAGAAATAAAACGAAAATGTAAGGCCGACAAAAAATAGTACTATCAAAGTATATGCAAAGAAATTAAGAGACATGGTCAGAATAGTCAGCCGAGAGATCTATTTAGAAAAATACGCTACCTGACAAGAGACTTCAGAGCCAGAACTTGGGCCATTGAAGATAACACTGAAACCCTGAGAACAAACAGAGAAGACATAGCAGAGACATGGAGATCGTATTGCAGGGACCTATATAAAGATGATCAACGCCAAAAGCTTGTTAGCCAAATCTCTGACGAGGTGGAAGAAGAACCTGATATACTCGAAAATGAAGTAAGACAGGCTATCAACAAGCTTAAATATAACAAAGCACCAGGTCCAGATATGATAACAGCAGAAATGCTTAAAGCCACAAAAGAAACCGGCGTAAAGTTACTTCATCTACTCTGTAACCAAATATGGCATTCCAAACAATGGCCTGAAGATTGGACAAAATCTACAATAACGACCATACATAAAAAAGG